CCAGCGACAGCCCCAAAACATCACTGCTCTAGAGGAGATCTGCATGGAGGAATGGGCCAAAATACCAGCAACAGTGTGTGAAAACCTTGTGAAGACTTACAGAAAACGTTTGACCTGTGTCATTGCCAACAAAGGGTATATAACAAAGTATTGAGAAACTTTTGTTATTGACCAAATACTTATTTTCACCCATAATTTGCAAATAAATTCATAAAAAATCCTACAATGTGATTTTCTGGAGAAAAAAAATATCCATTTGTCTGTCATAGCTGACGTGTACCTATGATGAAAATTATAGGCCTCTCTCATCTTTTTAAGTGGGAGAACTTGCACAATTGGTGGCTGACTAAATACTTTTTTTCCCCACTGTACATCTTGGTGGGGCAAAAAAATTATAATTGTGGGATGCATGCCAGCAAAGCCACTACACAACACAACACTAAACAATACATGAATTGCACTATAACGGTGACAAACGGTGCCCACAAACTGTTAGGGCCTACATAAATCTGTCCCAACACCTCACCACTGCTTTACCTGGCTATCAGCAGAGCCTTGTCTGGCAGCGAAACAGTTCATTCAGCCTTATTTACTGCCTTAAAAAAAAAAAACATAGCTGATATGGCTGACTTGGTTAAACAAATGTGGTTTCTACTAACCATTGAAATGTACAAACTATGGCATAAGGGGACGACAAGTGGATAAGTGGCAATCCTTAATTTCGATTAAGACATTAATGGGCGAGCTAGGATGGACAAAGTCAATATACCTATTTGTTTAGCACTTTTGAAATGTACAGCGACAGAATTCAGAACATGGGCCGTTCTTACAGTGTTCTCCCTGTACACCAAGTCAGAACCGTAGGATAAATAAAGGGGGCATATAAGCAGACAATGAAAGCTCTTACAATATTTGATTACATTTCTCTAAAACAGGCTATAGGCTACATGTGCACCACCAAGTCAGAACAGTAGGCAAAATTAAGAGGTGAAATAGACCAGATTATTAGGGTGAGGCACATGGGCTACTAACAACTTACTATACAACATACACTTAGTATTACTTTGTTAGCTACTGTATACATATATCCCTGGCATATTACATCGTTTATGGAGCAGCATACAAGACATTTCTGGACTCACCTTGTTGTGCTGTGACGTCATCACGTGATTTTGTCATCAAACTTTGTCATCAAAGTCTGGCATTCTCTGGATTTATGGTGAGGAACTCAAAAAAAAGGTTGAATCATGATGATGTCATTGATCTTCAGATCGTAGCTCTAGAAAGAGGCCCGAGTTCCGGATTTACAATTCCGAGTTGGATGAAAGTTCAAAAAGTCGTAGCTCGTTTTTCCCGAGTTCCCAGTTCACTTGAACTCACTAAAGTCCGATTTTGCAGTTCCGAGTTAACAGTTGTTCTGAGCGCGGCACAAATCATGCTTCATTGACAGCATGGCCAATGTTGAATGTTTATAATTTTAAATTAGGAAAATATACCCTTAATCTTAGACTTGGGACCACACAGCCACTCCACTGAATAGCAGGCTAATGATTGCTTTGCAATGCTTGCAGTTAGCCACTTATTCCTTCCAAACCACTCATTGTTGAATTTGCGATTTCCAACTTGTTGTGTAATGTTTATGTCCAATGGCCGATGAGCACTGATACGTTCTATCTATAATTTCGCTTCGTTATTTCTCTTCATATGACAAGGATTAAAAAGGATTTGCAAGTAGATTGTCGACTTGATTCATGATGATGACTGCTAGCTAAGATTTGAAAGTATAATGTTGACGTGATCAGTCCAATCAAAGCTGTAGATATAACGTGATTTGACATCATTTTATCTGTGGCCAATGACCTTGAGCCTTCTTGGATGGGCACTTCTAATTTAACTCTATGGCAGCACCCAAGGGGCTTGAATTGTCTAGCTCTACCCTTAGACTTGGCGGCGACGTAGTGTCCCCATGAGTGACAGAACACTGAGCCAATCACGGCGCAACACTCCGTATTCTCTGCTGGCTTGCCCCACCACCACAGAAAGCCCTGAGCTATAATAATAATAGCTAGGCTGAAACACCTGCATTTTGGAGCTGTCTTACTCAAGAAAATAAAAAAAAACAAAAAGGAGACAATGTTTGTATGTGGCTTTATTAACTCAATTATATATTTTTTACATTGTTTGCAAACTGATATGTGACACGTATTAATGCCAAAATAACATGCAAAACAGGCAAGCTTAATTTTTTTGTTTTGCTAAAAATATGGGGCTCAAAACAGACGGGTTGCCCCTGATTATACAGTATTCGTATCAGCTTTTCGTCATCCCTGTGACAGTTGTAATAACTCCTTTGTTCCTCAAGGCAGAGGACTTTGTGGAGCTGATGGGTCCTAAAATGTTGGCAGAGACAGCAGACATGATAGGAGTGAAGGAGCTCAGAGATGCTTTCAAAGAGGTACAGAGACCCAATATTCATTATAGTCAATGTGTTTATGATATAGAGATTGGTCACAGAGATTAATTAGAGAATAGATTTTCTCTCAACCTGCTCTTTCTACACCATTCACTCTCTCATCTCTCTCTCTCCCTCGGTCTCCTTACTTTTCACTCTCTATCGCCCTCTATTTGTTTGTACATACTTTTATTAATTAGTTAACTAATTCAATTTTAGTATTTCTGTAATGATTGATTAAGAGTCTAAGAGTATAGGTCCATAGTCTGATTACATAATAATCATGTTGACGTTTCACTAGAATTAGAATAAATGTTAATTCAAATAGTTGTATTTATTTATTCATTTATTTTCCTAGAAACTATTTTTATTTAAAACATCTTTAAATGTTGCATGTACCACAGGAGGTTGGTGGCACCTTAATTGGGGAGGACGGGCTGGTGGTAATGGCTGGAGCTTCCATGTTTCCAGTTCCACCATTCCCTCTTTCTGAGTCTCTGCTCTTTGTTCTCTTTCAGCATCCTCTTCTTCTCTTCAATCTCTCTCTCTTTATTCTCTCTCTCAGCCTCTTGTAACATCTCAGTGGTGTAGTATCTTCCTCCATTCATCTTCACCATCTTCTTTATCTTGTCAAGCAGCTCAGTGACCTGGGAGGGATTCTGATCTCTGTTGTTGAAGACATGATATCCCCCATGGCATTGTTTTATGAAATGCTGAAGATTTGGAGAATCATCCACACAGTCTTTAATTGACGTTCCCTCCAGTCGATCTCCATGGGTGAAGAGGACCATTGTGTAGTTTGCTTCCTGTTTTCCAAAGGTTGTCTGAATGATCTCCATTGTTTTCATCTCCTCAGGTGTGAATCTAATCAGCGGGATCACAACCAGGAACACATGGGGACCAGGAGAAGAGAGAGAGATACACCTCTTGATTTCTGTCAGTGTCTCCTGTTGGGTATAGTAGCTGTCAAACAAGCGTGGGGTGTCGATAACCGCAACCTTTTGTCCATCCACCTCTCCTCCGTTCTTGTCACACTTGGATGTCACAGAGTAGGGAGACATTTTTGACTTAAAAGCATTTCTACCCAGGATGGTGTTTCCTGTTGCACTCTTCCCAGCTCCAGTCTTCCCCACCAGCACAATCCGGACCTCATGTTCTGTTGGATTACAAGGACGTGAGTCTAACCTGGATGTAATTCCTGTTATCACATTGACAAACTGCATTTTTCAGTAAAATAATTTTGTGAATGGATGACATCACCCATGTTAGACCTCTAACATCCTTGATTCCTCCGAGTTCTGTTGTAGTTTGTTAGTTCTGTCTCATTCTTTTTCATTTCAGAGGGGAAAGTATTAAACTGAAACATCACCTTCATTTTAGCAGAGGTTCCCTTGCTTGTGCCAGCATACTAAACTATACAATAAGCTGCTTTTTCAGTTTCACACTGCTTCATGGCTGCAACAACTAACATTTACGGTCGGTAGAATATAAACTTTGTCCAAATTAACGCTGACATTATGAATCAGTGGAAATATTTAAGAAACAAGGAGGCCTACACTTTCAATACATGACACCAGTGATAGTAGGGTACTTCCTTACTTGTGGTGAGGGTTGTTGACACCAGCTGACTTTCCTTTCCATTTTCCAACACAGTGCAGACATTGACTGAGTATTTAGTAGCAGGTTGCAGGTCAGAGAGAGTGATGCTGTGTGAAGATGTGGTAGTGATGTGTGGTTCTGTCCCTGGACAGTGGTAGGAGATCTGGTAATGATGTTGGGTTTGGTCCAATCCTGGTGGCTGGCTCCAGCTAACAGTAGCTGACGTGGTGTCCACTGAGTCAACAGTCAGATGGTCTGAGCAGGAAGTATTAAAGTAAAATATATTATTGTCAGGGCTACAGTTTAACTCCAGAAGATATATTACAGGAGGAGAAGTAGAATAAGTCCAGGGATAAACATGTCTGTAATTTATTTTGATGTTGGAAGAATTTAAAAACAGAAGCCATAACAGAAGTTGATTTGTAATATAACAAAAAATGTTCCAATTCACACACTTATCAGGAGAACATTCCTGGTCATCCCTACTGCCTCTTATCTGGCAGACTCAATAAACACACATGCTTCATTTGTAAATGATGTCTGAGTGTTGGAGCGTGCCCCTGGCCATCCGTTAAAAAAAATATATATGAAAATGGTGCAGTCTGGTTTGCTTAATTTAAGGAATTTTAAAATATTTATACTTTTACTTTTAATACTTAAGTATATTTTAGCAATTACATTTACTTTTGATATTTAAGTACATTTAAAAGCAAATACTTTTAGACTTTTACTCAAATAGTATGTTACTGGGTGACTTTTACTTGAGTCATTTTCTATTAAGGTATCTTTACTTTTACTCAAGTATGACAATTGGGTACTTTTTCCACCACTGACAAACTGTCTGTTCTGGTTACTGGTAAAGAGATGATGATCTGTAACAAGGTGAGAGAGATCTCTTACTAGTGCAGATAGTTGTAGAGACAGGTTCACTCTGTTCCCCATTGTTCAGTACAGTTGAGACGCTGACGGTGTGCTCAGTACCAGGTTGCAGGTTTGAGAATGTTTTGTGGCAGTCTTTAGTATTCTCTGCATGGAGGTCTGTTCCTGGGCTGCAGTAGGATATAAGGAAGCGCTGTGGGACATTCTCCAATCCTTCAGCCTTGGACCAGTGGAGAGTGAAGGAGGTCTCTTTCAAATTGTCTACTTTTAAGTCTCTGGGTGGGACCACTGGAACATAAAACAATATTTGTTTTAAGAAGATCCATAACAATACCTCTCTTAAAACACAACAAAGTATGTCAGTAAAACATGACTAAAACCAAACTCTTTACCTGTGGATAGGGATGCTGAGACACATCTGCTTTGGCTTCCATCTTCTCCCTCTGTAGCCACGTTGAACTGGTACTTTTCACCAGGTTGGAGACTGCTTATTTTAAGATGATGCCCACTTTTCACTTTTGTTGAGCTTGTTTCCCCGTCACACACCCAGGTCACTCTGAATGTCTGTGGTCCTTTAACTTTAACTCCCTGAGGAGAACTCCAGCTCAGAGACACTGAGTCTGACGTCAGCAACAGGACCTGGATGTCACCAGGAGGGGGCAGCACTGGTGAAGGAATAATGAGAGAGAAAAACAGACTTTATTGAAAATAAAATTACAAACACAAATGTGTATTATTCATCCCAGCAGTTAAGGGACAACAATTAATATCTTACTAAATGTATCCTCTTAAATGTAGATTTAAATTAAATAATATTGTTTAGATCAGTTTATTCCGTGTTACCTACCATCATCTGAGGTCAGCGTTGTGTGTTGGTCTCCATAAAAATTCTTATGCTGTGAAAACCAAAGAAAGAGTCAATCATTTCTGTGAAACATGTTATTTTGCTCTTGACACATAAACCTTTATCTTTATCGAGCATATACTGTACATCTGCAATGAAGAGTATGAAAACAAACCAGGAGCTACCTGTCTTCCAGTTTTCTTTATCTTACGGAAGATGGTATCATGTCCTTTGTGCTTTGTCTCTGCACACTGACTGCAGATCAGCATCTGGTCTGTCCTGCAGAACACCTCCAGAGGACTGTAGTCATGTTGACAGAGTTTCTGCACCAGGTCTCCAGTCACATCCACCACTGTGTGTCTCTGCAGTGCTGCTATTGTATAGTGCTGTCTGATGTGGGTCTCACAGTAGGACACACTGCAGGTCTGACAGAACTTCACAGCTTTGACCTCAGAGCAGATATCACAGGGTACCTCTCCTGGCCTGGTTGGGAATTGGAAAATAACATTTATCAAATACATTGATCAAAAGACCCTCATCTATTCAGTTTAACACATAATGGCCTGATAATAATACACATGGTAACCTACCTATAACTATCTGTTATCATGACGTGTATTTTTGTTTCACCCTAAGTCACATATTTTATTTCATGAGGTTAGCATTAATATGTCATAGGGTTTTATTTCCAGCTGGGCGCAAAGGAGAATCTCACCCTTTGTTTCGTAGAGAGACCCCTCCTTTGAAATGTATAGGGTATATCATGGATTGGTCACTCTTCATTGATAGAACACCAGAGGAAATAGACTCTGCTCTCTCTGGACTGCCCCTAGTAGTACAAGACAGTCAGGCAAAACACACTAAAAAACTAATAAAACACAATGATAAACACACTAAAAAACTAATAAAACACTATGCTAAACACACAAAAAAACTACTAAAACACTATGCTAAACACACTAAAAAACGACATGCTAAACACACAAAGAAATACAATAAAACAACAATGTATTATATTCCTCTCTTCCACATAATGTGAATTTTAGTTTATCTTCTTCTAGCCAACTACATGCATTAACTTTGCTTATTTGAGCTATTATTGCCATAATATGGACTTGATCTTTTACCAAATAGGGTTTTCTTCTGTATACCACCCCTACCTTGTCACAACACAACTGATTGGCTCAAACGCATTAAGAAGGAAAGAAATTCCACAAATTAACTTTTAACAAGGCACACCTATTCATTGAAATGCATTCCAGGTGACTATGTCATGAAGCTGGTTGAGAGAATGCCAAGAGTGTGCAAAGCTGTCATCAAGGCAAGGTGTGGCTACTTTGAAGAATCTCAAAAATGAAATATGTTTTGATTTGTTTAACACTTTTTTGGTTACTACATGATTCCATGTGTTATTTCATAGTTATGATGTCTTCACTATTATTTTACAATGTAGAAAATAGTAAAAATAAAGAAAAACCCTTGAATGAGTAGGTGTATCCAAACTTTTGACTGGTACGATATATAGAACAATTTACGAACAAAAAAACAAAAAACTATTTCAATAAGAACATCTCCACATGTCCTGTCCTCCCTATAGGCCTACATTAAAATGCAACCAATGCAGTTCTAAAAATGTAATACGTTTTTTTCCTCGCTGATGCTACGTCAGTGTGAATCATTTCACATATCTCCCCTCTTTCAGGGGTTTAACGTTACAATTGAATAGCTAGGCTATGTGTTAGTAGATCGACTAAGGTGAATGACCCTACAGCAGCCAAGGTGATAATGGCTGGGGTCATTTAGGCTTGTTTTTGTCGTTCTCCAAATAGCTTTTTAAAGTTTTTTTTAAAATTTTTATAGAAATGCAATAAATGAGCTTCAACTTTTTTTTAAAATACCTTGAGGAGGGGATAGCAAACTCGTCCGTTCACCTACCAATTTACACTTTCCTCAACCACTGACCGCTTATCGGTATCTGGGTTATGGTGGAAAGGTAGATGGAGGAGTCGAGGAAAGGACAGACTTTTTTTGCAATTGAGAATCTCCCGTTGCTGTTCACTAGCTCTGTCCCTAACTAGTGCATGAATAAAACATGAAATGGAGTACTGAGTGCATCAGTTATCAGTATATGGACTGGACTCCCAGTAATGATCACTATAGACTACAGTAGTTATAATAATACTCTCATAATATAATGCTGATGGCTGCTGTATTAGGCTAGTGTGATAAATCGGTTGATTTAGGATAGACGACTTACAAAGGTTTACCATCATCATGTGCTTTAGTTGATCCTTTTCTTGTCAGTCATTTTTTATGAAATTATAGTTAACAATTATAGAGCAATTTATTTTTATAGACAGACTACAACTCCGCCATTTTAGGCCATATTTAAGTGCAAGAGAACAGTGAATATCATCCTCAGGTGGCTGCCCTTCCCTTGCCCTTAGTCTGCCTACTGTCCCTCCTATCTCCATGGAGACACCTTCCTGAAAACAATGGCACTGTACTTTGTTTAAACCTGTTCTGCCAGTTCATGTCCTTAAAGATTAGATTGTTCCAATGTGGTTAGTCAAAAAAGATGACAAGATGGTTCACACATTCATCATCCAGGGTTACTATCAAACAGATATGTTATTTTTCTGATTTGTCCACTTGTTTCCTGCTTGTAGCAGGGCGCAGTTACAGGAATGTTCTAACTATAAGTCACATGATTACGTGAGAAAATGTTTCTGCAGTGAGGGTGGGTAATGCAAGTAAAGGTGTCCTTGGATGAATGTCAATTAAATGAATTAAATCTGACCATACCAGTTCATGCCCCAAAACACTCAAATTCAAATCTGGACCTCGAAGCCTGTTCCACTGCTTTTGTCTTCTTCTAATTTTCTCTGTCAGGGACTGATTTAGACCTGGGACACCAGGTGGGTGCAATCAGTCATCAGGTAGAACAAAACCAGCACCATTTCAGATTTGAATACCCCTGCCCTAAAATAATACAATGTTCTAAGGTAGTCCATGAGGAGGTAGGCCTATTAGGATTATGTACATAGCTATTAACCTCACATGTAGCTATAGCAACTGATTAGGGGCCAGGGGTATTCACATTTTACCCTATGAGGACTGCTGCTGGTTTTCTGTTCTACCTGATAATTGATGGCAGCAACCTGGTGACCCAGGTCTAAACCAGTCCCTGATTAGAGAGGAAGAATTGTTAAAAAGCAGTGGAACTGGCTCTGGTCCAGTTTTGAATGTGAGGGGGTTAGGCCTACAACTATATTGAGAGAAAGATCGTCTTTTTCTGCATACGAACAATATCAGATCCCACAAAGCCTGGAGAAGTATGTATCATGTCAGGAAACTCATTAATGTGACATATTATTATATTGCAATCAGACTCGCAGCACAACTGCAAAAAAGACTACCTGGAACGCTGCCAGATAGTTTGCCTTCTAGATTTTTCTTTAAGTAGTGAAAAATAAATGAACATTTGACAATTTTTTTATATATGCTAAGAACAAATGAAACCCTTTTTGTGAACTTCCCTGTGCGCAATCTCTCATTATGCGAGATCTGGGCCATTTGATTTGTACCAGTTCAAAATACCTGAGAGTAATAGCAATTGTTATGACATTGTGAGTCCTAAAGTCTTCCCCAGTTTGAATAAAAATTAGCCTACCTGCCAGTCATCAAAACATATATTAACCTGACACTTTTATAAAACATGTATACTTACCATTTTCCAGCTGCATTCAAAGTAGCCTAGACTTGAGCATGTACTGACACGGTCATAATAAAAAGGTGGAAGCCTAAGGTGACGTTACTGAGGGGAGGTGAGGAAGACTGGCAGGAGGAGAGGGGAGGGGAGGAGCATCTGGGCATGCATCACCTGGGACAATTTTAGCTTCTTCTTCGATGAGGTTTAACGGTGGTTGGCATCCAATAAATGTTGCAATACTGCCACCTACTAGACTGGAGTATAACTCCTTTATACTTTGCCTGAATTGAAATCATAATAAAAATAAAAAATAAAAAAATATATATAAACACCCCCTACTCCACTATTTAAATACCCTACCATCTAACCCAATCACAAAAAACCCACCACCCTAATCCACTATTTAAATACCCTACCATCTAACCCAATCACAAAAAACCCACCACCCTAATCCACTATTTAAATACCCTACCATCTAACCCAATCACAAAAAACCCACCACCCTAATCCACTATTTAAATACTCTACCATCTAACCCAATCACAAAAAACCCACCACCCTAATCCATTATTTAAATACCCTACCATCTAACCCAATCACAAAAAACCCACCTCCCTAATCCACTATTTAAATACCCTACCATCTAACCCACTCACAAAAAACCCACCACCCTACTCCACTATTTAAATACCCTACCATCTAACCCAATCACTAAAAACCCACCACCCTACTCCACTATTTAAATACCCTACCATCTAACCCAATCACTAAAAACCCACCACCCTACTCCACTTTTTAAATACCATACCATCCAACCCACTCACTAAAAACCCACCACCCTACTCCACTATTTAAATACCCTACCATCTAACCCACTCACTAAAAACCCACCACCCTACTCCACTATTTAAATACCCTACCATCTAACCCAATCACTAAAAACCCACCACCCTACTCCACTATTTAAATACCCTACCATCTAACCCACTCACTAAAAACCCACCACCCTACTCCACTGTTGAAATACCCTACCATCTAACCCACTCACTAAAAAATATTTTTCCCAGTTGGATCTCGTTTTTTCCCGAGTTCCCAGTTGTCTTGAACGCACTGAAGTCGGAAGTCAGAGATTTCCAAGTTCACAGTTGTTGTGAACACGGCATTAGTCTCAGTGAAGGGAGGGAAATAGCAGCAGAGGACCCTCCTCTCACGGTCCCTGCTCTCTCCTTCCTTTCCTCCGGTGAGACTGACCAGAGAGATGGGACACAGTCTTCCACCTGATGGCGAAACTCGAGTCGCACCGCATTCCTATGACCAGAGAAAGTGAAATACTCCTCGATATCAAACTAGACACGACGAGCTGCTAAGGATAATGCCAAAGCGCAGGGGTATCGATACACTTGGCTACTCATTCATTGCAGCAGCAGCGCGAGTGGTAGTAAGGAGAAGCGCGTTTAATGTTTTGTAATAGTGTTGAGAAAAAACAGTGCTGAATAAAAACTTTAACATGAACTGACTCGTAAAAAATTAGCTATTTGCAGTATTCTTTGACAGTCTCTCTGGTCATGGTTTTGAAAAGTTATGAAATCTCATGTAGGCTAGTATCAAACTTTTCTGTTAGCTGTAGACACAGTGATTTGAGCAGTAGGCCCACTTGATTTAGCCACAGATCTCCCAGTTCGCCGGGTAGGCGGAGTTTGTATTTTCAGACAAATGAAAAGGTTCATATTGGGAACACTTTGCCTACCCGGTGCGCAGGGCGTCTGAATCAAGTGGTCCTTCCGTCAACTGCGCAACACGAATACAAAAAAAGGGGCAAGCCTTCATAGTTGGCTTTTCTGCAGAAATGTTTGGTGGTCGACTAGGAATGCCTTAAAGATCGACCGGTTGATCAATTGGTGACCAGTGCATTACGATAGCGTGTTTTCTGGTAGGGAACTGAGTCGGATGTATTTTCTGTTAGGGAAACTGAGCAGGTGCACTCTCATGCAAAGATAAAGATCATAGCTACAAAGCATTCCAAGCAAAACGTTTGAAGCACACTTATTCAATCTTCCATAATCAAAATGATAGCAAATCGTTTATTTAATTTTCGTGCCTTATCAAAGATAACTTTGATATCAGGGGTAGAGTGAGGCTAGCCTAACGGGGGTGCTGTTTAGCAAATGTTCAATTGTGAAAGCAAACACAGTACACACGCACACACACACACTCACAGCAAGATCTAAGTGAGATATGTCTTTCTTTGTATTTCAATAGAAATATTATCAATTAAAAAAGTGTTAAATAGCTCCATTTACTTGGCTCCCATATTCTTTATCTTTATAATCGTTATAAGTAGTTATATTACAGTGAATTTGGAAGACCCTATGTAAAAATGTTTTACTGTAATAATGGCTGGTAGACATTTTTTTGTGTGCCACTAGTAGATCATTAATCCAGTGTGATGACCACTGTATACCACACGAGGCCCATATTATACCAGCTTAAAATATGAGGTAAAATAATTGGTTATTCTATATTGCAGTGAACGTTGAGGGTATATAACGACAGTTTTTCACAGACAAAATGGCTGTTAAACATATTGAGATGTGTGCCGCTAGTTGATCATTCATCCAGTGTGATGACTATTGCATAACATAACATGCCCATATTATGCCAGTTTAAAGAGAAAAGTCAAAAATGTTCAACTCCATATTCATCTTCTCCAGCACCACCCCAACATCATCATATGTGAAAATTGCGTTTTTCTATGTTTTAGAGTAAACAAGATAGAAGATAAGCGTTTCCAATGACATCATCAACCAATTAGTAGACAATTAGTAGGCAATGCCTACTCATAACTGGTTAAAATCACATGATGTGAGGGCCTCCCGAGTGGCGCAGCGGTCTAAGGAACTGCATCGCAGTGCTAGCTGCAGACACATTGGTGCGGCTGGCTTCCGGGTTAAGCGTGCATTGTGTGAAGAAGCAGTGCGGCTTGGCGGGGTTGTGTTTTGGAGGAATGCACGGCTCTCGACCTTCGGCTCTCCCGAGTCCGTACGGGAGTCAGGGTGTGTTTGTTCTATGTTGTGTTTTCTATGTTTAGATTCTAGATCGTGTTTTCTATGTTGGCCGGTTGGTTCCCAATCAGAGGCAGCTGTAGCTCATTGTCTCTGATTGGGGACCATACTTAGGTAGCCGATTGGCACTAGTTAGTTGTGGGATCTTGTTCCGTTAAGGTTTGTGTTGTATGACCGAGGACTTCACGTATCGTTTTGTTGTTTTTGTTTGGGTGTGTGTGCTTAATAAAATAATGTACGCTTATCACGCTGCGCCTTGGTCCGCTTCTTATAACGATCGTGACACATACGACTTACCCAAAAAGACTTACAGCTGTAAATGCTGCCAAAGGTGATTTTAATGTGCAATAGACTCAGGGGTTTGAATAAATTATTTATCCAATCAAGATATATTAGTGTTTTATTTATAATTTTACGAAAATTCTGTTAGAATTTATTCACTTTAACATTATTTTGTGTAGTATTTTTTTTTGTAGATTGTTGACAACAAAATGACAAAGTAATCCATTTTAATCCTACCTTGTAACAACAAAATGTTCAAAAAGTGAAGGGGTGTGAATACTTCCTGAAGTCACTGTACACGTCATACAACGTCATGTAATAATGCATAGGCTCTGTTGGTTTACCTTTTATCCATGCTTTGGTCTCCATCATCACTTGGGTCTATGCTTGAATTCACTGACTGGCCACTCATAGACATATGACTAGTTGTACGTAGCTGGAGATGCTTCAAATTGCTGCTGTGAACATAAAAAATTAAAATAAATGTTCAATACAACTATTTGATAAAACATTGAACTGAGACTTAACTGTGAATTGTGAGGTAATCAAAACGATACACAACAATTAATAATTAGAAGCACCTTAGATCTCCGTCACTCTCCAGTGTTCTATTGGACTCACAGCTGAGTGTAGGAAAGTCTGTTTTACGCACATGGACACTGTGAACAGAGTAGATTCAAGCTTTAGCTTTTGAGAACTCTCTTATAGTGATATGGGGAACACGGAGTACTAATTTGATGGAAATTGAATGGAACTAACTGAGATACTGCAGGGGTTAAATTAGGGGAAACTGAGTTCCACATTTTTTATGACTGGAGACAGCATACAGTTGAAATTAAAACAATGCACCACCTACAAAATTCAAATGGAATCTATTATACACCGCTCAAAAAAGAACACTAAAATAACACATCCTAGATCTGAATGAATGAAATAATCTTATTAAATACTTTTTTCTTTACATAGTTGAATGTGCTGACAACAAAATCACACAAAAATTATCAATGGAAATCAAATTTAACAACCCATGGAGGTCTGGATTTGGAGTCACACTCAAAATTAAAGTGGAAAACCACACTACAGGCTGATCCAACTTTGATGTAATGTCCTTAAAACAAGTCAAAATGAGGCTCAGTAGTGTGTGTGGCCTCCACGTGCCTGTATGACCTCCCTACAACGCCTGGGCATGCTCCTGGTAAGGTGGCGGATGGTCTCCTGAGGGATCTCCTCCCAGACCTGGACTAAAGCATCCGCCAACTCCTGGACAGTCTGTGGTGCAACGTGACGTTGGTGGATGGAGCGAGACATGATGTCCCAGATATGCTCAATTGGATTCAGGTCTGGGGAACGGGCAGGCCAGTCCATAGCATCAATGCCTTCCTCTTGCAGGAACTGCTGACACACTCCAGCCACATGAGGTCTAGCATTGTCTTGCATTAAGAGGAACCCAGGGCCAACCGCACCAGCATATGGTCTCACAAGGGGTCTGAGGATCTCATCTCGGTACCTAATGGCAGTCAGGCTACCTCTGGCGAGCACATGGAGGGCTGTGCGGCCCCCCAAAGAAATGCCACCCCACACCATGACTGACCCACCGCCAAACCGGTCATGCTGGAGGATGTTGCAGGCAGCAGAACGTTCTCCATGGCGTCTCCAGACTCTGTCACGTCTGTCACATGTGCTCAGTGTGAACCTGCTTTCATCTGTGAAGAGCACAGGGCGCCAGTGGCGAATTTGCCAATCTTGGTGTTCTCTGGCAAATGCCAAACGTCCTGCACGGTGTTGGGCTGTAAGCACAACCCCCACCTGTGGACGTCGGGCCCTCATACCACCCTCATGGAGTCTGTTTCTGACCGTTTGAGCAGACACATGCACATTTGTGGCCTGCTGGAGGTCATTTTGCAGGGCTCTGGCAGTGCTCCTACTGCTCCTCCTTTCACAAAGGCGGAGGTAGCAGTCCTGCTGCTGGGTTGTTGCCCTCCTACGACCTCCTCCACGTCTCCTGATGTACTGGCCTGTCTCCTGGTAGCGCCTCCATGCTCTGGACACTACGCTGACAGACACAGCAAACCTTCTTGCCACAGCTCGCATTGATGTGCCATCCTGGATGAGCTGCACTACCTGAGCCACTTGTGTGGGTTGTAGACTCCGTCTCATGCTACCAGTAGAGTGAAAGCACCGCCAGCATTCAAAAGTGACCAAAACATCAGCCAGGAAGCATAGGAACTGAGAAGTGGTCTGTGGTCACCATCTGCAGAACCACTTCTTTATTGGTGGTGTCTTGCTAATTGCCTATAATTTCCACCTGTTGTCTATTCCATTTGCACAACAGCATGTGAAATGTATTGTCAATCAGTGTTGCTTCCTAAGTGGACAGTTTGATTTCACAGAAGTGTGATTGATTTGGAGTTACATTGTGTTGTTAAAGTGTCTTTATTTTTTTGAGCAGTGTATATTGCTTATAATGCCAGTAATTACTATATAATGAACAGTCATCCTGATACTGTAACTAATATCATGAAAAGTGCTACACATGTTCAGTTGGACACACACACCCCAGACACCCAACTACCTCATATGAGGGTCCATGGTCTCATCAAAATCCTTGTTTGGTGACCCATCCTTCTGTCTTTCTTTATGGATGGCTCCACCCTCAGCCCCCTGATGATAACTCATTGTAACTCTCAGAGAGGAGGCCTCACAATCCTGAAGATGACTGGTTCCATATCAATCTGTAAATTACAAAAGTCCCAGATATTGACACAACCTTTTAGACACAAAACACTGCTGTTATAACCACTGTTACAAATGCTTTGGTAAAATGGACATTGTTACGTCCCTCTTCATGTTATATTATCTTATGTTTATAAGAATGGACGTTGGGCGTCTGATATCGTTTGTTGGACTTTACTGAAAGCATTATGGGGATACATAGAGTAGATACATTGGGAGAAACAATTCTGCCAACAAACTCCTCTATTTGCCTACTCAACCATTCAACCACTTATCGGTTTCTGGGTCATGGAGGAAAGGAGGACGGAGGAGTCGAGGAAAGGACCGACTTTTGCCCAATTGAAAATGTTTTTGATGTACAGTGCATTCGGGAAAGTATTCAGACCCCTTGACTTTTTCCACATTTTGTTATGTTACAGTCTTATTCTAAAATGTATTAAATAATTTGTTTTCCTCATCAATCTACACACAATACCCCATAATGACAAAGCGAAAACAGGTTTTTAGAAATGATTGCAAACGTATTTACATAAGTATTCAGACCCTTCGCTATGAGACTCGAAATTGAGCTCAGGTGCATCCTGTTTCCATTGATCGTCCTTGAGATGATTCTACAACTGGATTGGAGTCCACCTGTGGTAAGTTCAATTGATTGGACATGATTTGGAAAGGCACACACCTGTCTATGTAAGGTCCCACAGTTGACAGTGCATGTCAAAGCAAAAACCAAGCCATGAGGTCAAAGGAATTGTCCGTAGAGCTCCGAGACAGGATTGTGTCGAGGCACAGATCTGGATGAAGGGTACCAAAACATTTCTGCAGCATTGAAGGTCCCCAAGAACACAGTGGCCTCCATCATTCTTAAATTGAAGAAGTTTGGAACCACCAAGACTCTTCCTAGAGTTGGCCGCCCCGGCCAAAATGAGCAATCGGGGGAGAAGGGCCTTGGTCAGGGAGGTGACAAAGAACCAGATGGTCCCTCTGACAGAGCTCCAGAGTTCCTCTGTGGAGATGGGAGAACCTTCAAGAAGGACAACCATCTCTGCAGCCCTCCACCAATCAGGCCTTTATGGTAGTGGCCAGACGGAAGCCACTCCTCAGTAAAAAGTTACATGACCGACCGCTTGGCGTTTCCCAAAAGGCGCCTAAAAGACTCTCAGACCATAAGAAACAAGATTCTCTGGTCTGATGAAACCAAGATTGTACTCTTTGGCCTGAATGCCAAGCGTCACTTCTGGAGGAAACCTGGCACCATCCCTATGGTGAAGCATGGTGGTGGCATCATCATGCTCTGGGGATGTTTTTCAGTGGCAGGGACTGGGAGACTAGCCAGGAATGAGGGAAAGATTAACGGAACATAGAGATCCTCTATGAAAACGTGCTCCAGAGCGCTAAGGACCTCAGATTGGGACGAAGGTTCACCTTCCAACAGGACAACGACCCTAAGCACACAGCTAAGACAACGCATGAGTGGCTTCGGGACAAGTCTCGGAATGTCCTTGATTGGCCCAGCCAGAGTCCGGACTTGAACCCGATCAAACATAGCTGGAGAGACCTGAAAATATCTGTGCAGCGACGCTCCCCATCCAACCTGACAGAGCTTGAGATGATCTGCAGAAAAGAATGCGAGAAACACTCCAAATACAGGTGTGCCAAGCTTGTAGCGTCATTCCCAAGAAGACTTAAGGCTGTAATCGTTGCCAAAGGTGCTTCAACAAAATACTGAGTAAAGGTTCTGAATACTTATGTACATTTTATTTTTATGAATTTGCTTTTCCCCCCATTCTTCCCCTCTATCAGGGACTGATTTAGACCTGGGACACCAGGTGGGTGCAATCAGTCATCAGGTAGAACAAAACCAGCACCATTTCAAGATTTGAATACCCCTGCCCTAAAATAAGAAAATGTTCAAAGGTAGTCCATGAAGAGGTAGGCCTGTTAGGATGATGTACACAGCTATTAACCTCACATGTAGCTATAGCAACTGATTAGGGGCCAGGGGTATTCAAATCTTACCCTACAAGGTCTGGACTACTGTTGGTTTTCTGTTCTACCTGATAATTGATGGCAGCTACCTGGTGACCCAGTTCTAAATCAGTCCATGACTAGAGGGGAATATACAGTGGGGAAAAAAGTATTTAGTCAGCCACCAATTGTGCAAGTTCACCCACTTAAAAAGATGAGAGAGGCCTGTAATTTTCATCATAGGTACACGTTAACTATGACAGACAAAAAATCCAGAAAATCACATTGTAGGATTTTTAATGAATTTATTTGCAAATGATGGTGGAAAATAAGTATTTTATACTTTTTTTCCCCACTGTAGCCACCTGACTGACTGACATATCTATACGCGTCTATTTGCCAGTTGTGCACTCATTCGAAGAGAGTCGGTTTTTGTTTGTTTGGGGGATGTCTGTAAACACGGCAGGAGTTGCGGGACAGTTTTTAAATTGCCTTTTGTTCGGGCATCTCACAAACACACTGTCAGGCAACTAGTCTAGAGACGCTGCTATCACAGGAGATTGGTGGAACCTTAATTGGGGAGAATGGGCTCGTGGTAATGGCTGGAATGGAATAGGTGGAGCTCAGTGGTGCGTCTGAGGTAGGCTGCATTACATGCAGTAGGAAGCAAAGGAGGCAGAGAGAGCGGAAGCAAGCAGAGAGGTTAGTACAGTGATTCCCAAACTTGGGGTCGGGCCCCATGTGGGTCCCCTAAGAAAATCTGAACTAATGTTATCAAACAATTTACGAACAAAAAAACTAAAAATATTTTTCAATAAGAACATCTCCACATGGCCTATCCTCCATATAGGCCTACATTAAAATGCAACCAATGTTGTTCTAAAAATGTAATACGTTTTTGTTTCCTCAATGATGATACATGCTAGTTTGAATCATTTCACATATCTCCCGTCTTTCAGGGGTTTAACGTTACAATTGAATTGCTAGGCTATGTGTTAGTAGATCGACTAAGGTGAATGAACCTACAGCAGCCAAGGTGATAATGGCTGGGGTCATTTAGGCTTGTTTTTGTCGTTCTCCAAATAGCTTTTTCAAGTTTTTTTAATTGCATAGAAATGCAATAAATGAGCTTCAACTTTTTTTTTTTAAATACTACCAATTTACACTTTCCTCAACCACTGACCGCTTATCGGTTTCCGGGTTAGGGTGGAAAGGTAGATGGAGGAGTCGAGGAAAGGACAGACTTTTTTTGCAATTGAGAATCTCCCTTTGTTGTTCACTAGCTCTGTACTTAACTAGTGCATGAATAAAACATGGCATGGAGTACTGAGTGCATCAGTTATCAGTATAATGAAAACAAGGACTGGAATCACAGTAATGATTGCTATAGACTACAGTAGTTATCAGTATAATGAAAACATGGATTGGACTTCCAGTAATGATCACTATAGACTACAGTAGTTATAAGTATAATGAAAACATGGACTGAACTTCCAGTAATGATCACTATAGACTGCAGTAGTTATCAGTATAATGAAAACATGGACTTTCAGTAATGATCACTATAGACTACAGTAGTTATAATAATACTCTCATAATATAATGCTGATGGCTGCTGTATTAGGCTAGTATGATAAATCAGTTGATTTATAATAGACTACTTATAAAGGTGCACCATCATCATGTGCTTTAGTTGATCCATTTCTTGTCAATAAATTTTTTTGAAATTATAGTTAACAATTGTAGAGCACCTTTTTTTTAATTGACAGACTACAACTCTGCCATTTTAGGCGATATTAACTGCAAGAGAATGGTGAATATTGTCCTCAGGTTGCTGCCCTGCCGTTGTCCTTAGTCTGCCTACTGTCCCTCCTATCACGATTTTGGCCCAGCGTCGTCCGGGTTTGGCCGGTGTAGGCCGTCATTGTAAATAAGAATTTGTTCTTAACTGACTTGCCTAGTTAAATAAAGGTCAAATTAAAAATAAAATTAAAAAATGGAGACACCTTCCTGAAAACAATAACACTGTACTTTGCTTAAACCTGTTCTGCCAGTTCATGTCTTAAAAGTTTAGAATGTTCCAATGTGGTTAGTCAAAAAGATGACAAGATGGTTCAGACATTCCTCATCCAGGGTTACTATCAAACAGATATGTTATATTTCTGGTTTGTCCACTTGTTTCCTGCTTGTAGCAGAGTGCAGTTACAGGAATGTTCTAACTATAAGTCACATGATTTCATGAGAAAGGTTTTCTGCAGTGAGGGTTGGTAATGCAAGTAAAGGTGTCCTTGGATGAATGTCAACTAAATGAATTAAATCTGACCATACCAGTTCATGCCCTAAAACACTCAAATTCAAATCTGGACCTCGAAGCCTGTTCCACTGCTTTTGTCTTCTTCTAATTTTCTCTATCAGGGACTGATTTAGACCTGGGACACCAGGTGGGTGCAATCAGTCATCAGGTAGAACAAAACCAGCACCATTTTATGATTTGAATACCCCTGCCCTAAAATAAGAAAATTTTCAAATGTAGTCCATTTAGAGGTAGGCCTATTAGGATTATGTACACAGCTATTAACCTCACATGTAGCTATAGCAACAGATTAGGGGCCAGGGGTATTCAAATTTTACCCTACGAGGACTGCTGCTGGTTTTCTGTTCTACCTGATAATTGATGGCAGCTAATTGTTAAAAATCAATGGAACTGGCTCTGGTCCAGATTTGAATGTGAGGGGGTTAGGCCTACAACTATATTGAGAGGAAGATCGTCTTTTTCTGCATACAAACATTATCAGATCTCACAACGCCTGGAGAAGTATGTATCATGTCAGGAAACTCATTAATGTGACATATTATTATATTGCAATCAGACTCGCAGCACAACTGCAAAAAAGACTACCTGGAACGCTGCCAGATAGTTTGCCTGTAGATTTTTTTTTAAGTAGTGAAAAAGAAATGAACATTTGACAATTGTTTCA